GCCCCCGGGGACTCCCCCTGCCCCGTCCCCTCCCGCTGCCATGTCCAGAGGGGCGTTGCCACTGGTTGGTCCGGACCCCTCTGTGCATTCTTGGCCATTGCGAGTGAGCTCGGACGCTGGGGAGGCCGCTTGAAAAGCCCCCAAAGCCCACCCCTGGGGCAAGTTCATAGGTTCATTGACTTCACGGCCAGCAGTAGCCATGGGGTCCAGCCTCCTGCAGCACCCAGCCCCAAGGAGTTCCTACAGCCCTTGGCAAACAGCAGTCCCCGGGGGGCGTGGAAGGGTGTGTGTCCTGCGCTGTCCGCTGTATGCCGTGCGACCCGGAGGGCTGCAGCCTCGCTTCGTGCTTTCATCGTGCTCGGCCTGCTTGCAAAGCCGCGCGCGCGGCTGGAGTCCAGTGCGTAGCGTCTCCAGAAGCCGCTTCCATCGGGCACCAAGCGGGTGGGGGCTCGGCTTTGCCAGCGCGAGTGGCTGCCCTTCACGAGGCCGGCGTGCCAGAGCGCGGCCGGGGAGCCAAGGGAACTGGGGGGCTGAGGAGCTGGGGAGGTCCGAGGAGCTGGGGGGCCCAGGGAGGTCCGTGCGGTGGCTGCAAAGCAAAGGGACTCACACTTGTGCCTCTGTGTTCCTGTTTGTTTCTTCGCAGCACTTTAAAAACCAAGGAGCTGTCGCCCGTGTCCGGGCAGAAAGGCAGCCCTGGCTCCGGCCACGCGGCTCCGAGTGGGAGCATCCAGCCGGCAGCCAGTCCCACTCAGCAGCTGTCCACGGAGCAGAGCCCTCATGCGCTGCGCAAAGGTGTGCGGGGGCGGGCGGGGGTGTGCTCTGGAGTGCAGCGTTCTGGGTGTGCGCCCCCGCCTGCTAGTCCAGGTGCCGATTGTTTGGAGGCATCGTTACAGGCTCAGAGAGTTGCAGGTGTGTTGTCCTTTGCCTGGATCTCTGCACTGTCCTGCACACGATGTGTGACCCTCTGGCATTTGCATGGCGCCGGATTCCCTCCAGCCATAGCCCTGCACGGAGGTGAGCAAGGCCAGCTCTGCAGAGCAGGCTCTTTGCAGGTGTCTCTGTACAGGCAACCCTCTCTGAGTGTGGCTACACCGTAACGACATGTGTGCAGTCTTCACCGGTCAACGTGCCGTTGTGGTCACCCAGACACTTGTGTAGTCTGGACAAAAGACTCCGTCAACGGGACAATTACAATTTAGGCTGGGCCAGATCCTGAGCTGGGGTCAATCCTTTTAGCTCTGTTTAGTCCATAGGGCTACACCGACTTACGCCAGCTCCAGATCTGGCCCATGGTTAAACTGTGTTGGGTTTTGCTCTGATGACGGCTGTTGCTAAATCACATGCTGTGGAGATCTCCCCTCGTCTCCACGGCTGCATCAGGGATTTGCTTTGTGCTCGCAAGGCTCTTTCGGCAAGCGCAAGGCCCGACTTCTCCGTGCGTCCGCTCCAATGAACGCCCCAGAGGCTCTGCGAGTTCCCACCCAGACGCAGGAATTCCATGGGCGACGTCGCGCAACGCGCCCTGACCGGGCCCACTCCGGACACGAGGATAACTACGGTGTGGTCAGAGAAGCATCCCGGCATCTGAGCGCAGGAGCGAACCACTGCCCGGAGCTTTTGGAGGGTGGTTGATAGACAACAGATACATTTTTCAAAAGGACCCGAGGGCCAGATTTTAAAAGGCATTTGGCCGTTTGAAGATGTACAGTAAACTTCTGATAATCCAGCACCTTTAGGACCCAGGGGGTGCCAGATTATCAGATATGCCAGACTATCAGAAGGGGGGGGGGCTATGAGGGGACTGGGGTAGAGTGG